TAAGAATTACCTTGCTTGTTAAAAATGCAAATTAGCAGTCTCTACTCTCTCCCAAGATTCTGCATGATTAGATCAGGAGAAGGCCCCCCGAGTATGCATTTTTAACCAGCACCAAATAGTTTTGGGATCAATCTTTGAAAAACTCTCCTGTGGTTTATTCCTTCATTTTTGATAAGGAAATCATGTGTTTTAGCCATCCCCAGGGAATACTTTTTTCTAAAACGTATGTGTATCAAGGTCTTTATTTATTTATTTTCTTGGCTGTAGGCCAGGATGTGGATCTGAACTCTTGACCTTGATGTTATCAGCACCGCCCTGTGCTCTCCCAACTGAATGACTGGCCAGCACCCCCAAGGAATGCTTTATTAGCGATTGTTCTAACATTCTCCTTAAACCTGTAGGCAGAACAGCTCCTTGCTTTATAGCACTCTTCTTTGTTTCATAANTCATAAAGTTTCATATACACATAATGAGAGAAAGCAGAAATACCAGCACTTCAATGATGGTGCTGGTAAGACTGGAAAAGCAATAAAGGGGTCAGAAAATGCTTATTATGAACTCTAATCTTGACTCAGAATAGCACGGTCTTGACTTTCTCCTACTTCTTTTCAGCCCTTTCCTCTGCCCTGGGCCTTCATCCTCTGCATCACCCTCTGCAGCTGCCTTACCTACGCTCTTATCTATCTCAGCAGGACTTTCAGCAGCCTCCTGACTCTGCCCAGTCCTTCCTTCCTCCCTCCACACTGCCCTCTGCCAGGATGCCGGCTGGATGAGAATCCAGACTGTCAAGTCATGCCACTCACCTGTCCCCATTGCCTCCAGGATCAAGTGCTGACTCCTTAGCATGGCGTACCAGACCTGGCTTCCTCTGTCCATCCCCACACTGTCTGTCCAATCACACTGAGCCCCTGGGATTCCCAAATGCCTAACATTATTTTCATACTGCTCTTGTTTTTCAACATACTGATCCTTCTCACTGAGACACCAGTTCTCTATTTTTCACCCAGAGAATTTTTATCCTTTCATCAGTGCTCAGCTCAAGCATCAATTCCTCTGCGAAGATTTTCTTCAACCCTTCCTAATCTTCTGGGCTGAATTTAATACTGCCTCCTTAGTTTTCAACTGTAATGGTAACTATCACTTATCTAATTATTTTGTCTAGACATCAGTCCCTGGAAAAAGATAGGGGGTCCCCCATGAAGGCAGGGACTATTCCATCTTTATTTTTGTATTCTCACTAATTGGCTGAATGGACTGGCACATACAGGTTACTCAGTAAATGCCTGGGGGATGAATGAAAAATTTTCCATAGTCTGAAATTCATTGCTGTAACAGTCCACAGGGCTTGTTTCAAATGCTCAACTGTTGGGGAAATAGAATAATTTAATCAGGCTCCCTTCACCTCAGGGCTGGTTGGGAGTAGTTCAGTAAACAAATTGTGTGTGGGTGGATTTAGTGTGCATGGGCAGCACAGCGACCTGGCTGGCACCTACCCCAGGCATCTGCTGCTCTGCACAGCCATGCTTTCCAACCTAGGGCTTCCAAGGACGTGTTTGCCAGTTACCTAGCTCATAGACCTGCGTGTTAGGGGTCTGGTGACCCAGCCTGGTGTGTGAGGGGTCTGGGGACCCAATCTGGCATGTGAATGGTTTGAGACCCAGTCTGGACAACGGGCTTGAGGGATCTGTGAGCTCCAGACCAAGCCCGAGAATTGGTGACGTGGGCAGGATTCCGACATTAGCCCTCGCACGACAACTGGCGTAGTCGTGTAGCTTTACAATTGGTGTCACAAACAGGATTATGGGCAAGTAAAAGAACTTGACAATTTGTCCAGTTGGTGCAGGATTACGGGCAGGTAAAGTAGCGCTACATCAACCCACATAGGCACACACACTCACATCAAAGGCCAGCATTTGCAACTTCCGGTGTGTAGGATGACACAAGTACTCTGCACTTGATCTGTTTAACGGACCTCTATAACAGTGGAGGTGAGTAACCAAAAGAGAGGGGAAAGGAATGTCGTGTTGTCCCTGAAACCCTCCACTCATTAGTAATTCTAATTTTTA